ACAAAACCAGATTTCAAAATATCTAAATCCTCTGCAAAATAGAACTAACCCCTCCCCACCTCTAGCCAGGACCCAGAATCTGGTAAAAAGTCAGCCATAAAGGGACTTGCAGTGTTAAAGGGACCTAAAACATCACAGCCACCACCAAGGGACCAACTGACAAGGGGGTGTGGCCAGTGGCAAGGCAGTTCAGGAATATATTAGTTAAATATATTCTTCAGGCAGCCTGTGTTGAACGTCCTATGGAGCTTGAGCTGGAGCCCCCTGTCTGAACTCCTGAGGGATGGCAGCGTACAGACATTACTCTCCCATAGCAGCTATGAATGCGCCCTGGAGTGCAGCACACATCCCATTGCAGATGAATGAAGATGCTAGTTTAGAATACAGTTTTGAATCATGGTCTTTCTCTTCTTCATCTCCCATGGCTGGCTGTTTCATATGAAGAGAGACTCATTTTCCCTGCTCTGAGGGAGAAGAGATGCTGGTAACTCAGTGGGGAGCACAGAGTGGTTCGATGGTTCCCACATCTCCAGTCCAATTGTTAACACTTACTGCATTGTGTCGCATGTATCATGTGGTACAGAAAATTCCTGCCGCTCTATGTAAACAGGTGGTCTTCCCAGCTGCCACTAAAACAAAATTCACGTGCTATTTAGGGTCAAAACTCACCCCCTTTCCTAGGGCATGGCTTTATTAACAAATTAATGCAAAATAAACAATATAAACTCTAGCACAAACCACCTCCCCATGTAACAGAGCACGTACAGTGGCATTGTATTATTGTTCATCTGTAAAGTCTCATTGAATTTAAATGAGAAACTGGATGAGAAATTAAACCAAAATCTCTTCACACCATCTTGAGTTGGATTTTGAGATGTCTTGGTACTTTTTTTAAAAGGGTAGGGGATAACACAGAGTCTTGGCCAAATGGTCTTCTAAACAAAGTGTGTTCCAATGCCTAAGGTGATTGATGAGTTGTTGAACTCGTGCAGTCTTCTTTGTTGGCTGTGTTACTGCGCTATCAGAATGTCATTATTAAATACTTTGAAAAGTGCTTTGTCGGGGACTTTGTGCATTGCATGATCTTGATAATATCTTCCCTATCAAGATTGTGCCAAAATTCTGCCCTGTTGTGTGCAGGTGTGCTGGACTGATGAGGGCTGGATCCCCAGCACATCCAGACATGACAAGGGAAGGATATAAATTTACCCCTCCACTGAGCAGTGAACTAGGGTCCTGGATACAGTGCCTTATGGGACTCCATGGTCCCAAAGGGTGTTGGTTGATGACTTGGGGGTGTGGCTAAGGCTTTTTCTACACTACAGAGTTAGGCAATGTAAGGCAGTTTATGTTGACCTAATTATATCAGTGTCTACACTAGAATGCTGCTTCCACTGAAGTAAGTGGCCTGCTACACTGACATAACTCCACCACCATGAGAGGCATAGCACTTATGTTGATGTAGTTAGAGTGACACAAGTGTCCATGTAGAAAATGCGTTACTTACATTGGCTACTGCCTCTCATTCTTGTCAGTTTCATGGCTGCCTCTGGCTCAGAGCAGCAGCCTGGGGTTCACAGCTAGAGCCATGAAACTGACAAGAATGTCAGTTTCACTGCTGATTAGGCTCTATGCTGTAAAATTGAGCCCATCAGTGGGCTTACAGTTGCACCCCACCCCAGCTGTCAGTCAGGTGGCAGGCTCACAGCTGGAGCCCCCTTGTGACACTGCACTCCATAATGTTTTATGGAAGTATGGTTATGAGTGTGAATATAACGTAACTGGAATATGTTTTATGCAAAAGGTCTAATGTAAGGTATCATTACAAAGCTTATAATCTACTGAGTGTGTTCATCCTATTTGTATGTATGTATCATACTTGTATCTAAAACTAGAAATATAAAGTTTAACTCTGAGGTCCTATTGTAATTATGCAAAGTGTGGGCCATTGATGGTGGTTTAGAATCTTGATGGCTCCCATTGACTAGGACAGTTGGTTGTAAGTGGTCTGTTTACTTGCAAACCTTCCTGGGTGTGTGTGGGCCAGCCCTGGAAGAATGAAGGCTGAGGTCTCACAGGACATGTGACCATGTCACCTGATACTGGAATCCATCTTAAACCTGGTGCTTTTCCATTTAGAAGGAGGGGTGGGGACCCAGAGAGACAAAAGATTCCCGCCTTGTGCCAAAGCTATAAAAGGGGGTGGAACAGAACAAAGGGGGTCCCAGTCATGAGACAGCCCCTGCTTTTCACCTAAGATGCCTGCTGGAACTAACAAGGACTGTACCGGGGAAAGGATTCGGCCCAGACTAGGAAGGAGTCTAGTCTGTGAAAGAAGCTTATTGGAACCTCTGAGGGTGAGGTTTTACCTGTATTCAGTTTCTTAATGTATTGGGCTTAGACCTTCATGTTGTGTTTTATTTTGCTTGGTAACTTACTTTGTTCTGTCTGTTATTACTTGAAACCACTTAAATCCTAGTTTTTATACTTAATAAAATCACGTTTGTTAATTAATAAATGCAGAGTAAGTGATTAATACCTGGGGGAGCAAACAGCTGTGCATATCTCTCTATCGGTGATATAGAGGGCGGACAATGTATGAGTTTACCCTATATAAACTTTATACAGAGTAAAATGGATTTCATGGCTCACTGAACTATTGCTTCAGACTGTCTGCAAACTCAAAAAAAACCACTGCCTCAGTTTACACTGTTGCTTTCACAACCAAATCAGCTAGAAATGTAACTATTTTTGGCAGTTTTGATTCTGAAGCACAATTCTGTAGTCAGGGCAGGATACTGAGGCAAATTCTGCTGCTGAAGAATCATGGAATACATGAGGCTGTGGTTACAAATGTATTATCAGGCCCCAAATTCTTAGCTGTAAAAATAAGTTCAGTCTCTTGAACAGTATTAAACAAGTGAAAATAAATTCAGGATCCCTTCAGTGTTCATGCATGTCCTTCATTTTCAGACCATTGTAGTCCAAATGTATTCAAAGAGTTTATTTCTAGTTTTTGAGATGATGCAGAAATGTTTCAAACAGAACTCTTTCTCCAGGAAGAAAGAATAGTTGTTTCTCGAAGTCTCATATCAAGAAATGTCTTGTCCAATCAATTTCTAATGTTCAAAATTAATATAATATATATCTTAATTAGAAAATAAAAATCTACACTGTGCTGAGACCAAGCATGAGAAATGTCGTGCCAAAAGCAGCTTTTTGGAGAAAGTACAGTCTAAATTCAGGCTTAGAATGGGAATTCTCTTTCATTCTTGACTATGGAGTCACTTCTGAATCCGTAGGTAATATGTAACATATTTGTATATGTATGTATACATTTTATATGTGCGTGCATGCATGCATACTGTAGAATTGTTCATTCTAGCAGCAGTTCATTTTATAGCAAAAAATCAGCCCTATCATTTACACTCATTATTTATACAAAAATTTGTGAGTCATCTACGTATTAATGTCAAGATTTTTAATATCTGTGTATCAATTTTCTGAATTCCGAAGGATATATTGTCAAGAGTTCTCCTTAACAAAACTTTATTGCACGGGACAAAATCCTGTTATCAGAACAATATTGCCGAGTGGGGAAAAATGCATCAAGTCAAGCGGAATAGGGTTCGAATCTGTGTGTATACAAAGGAGCTGGCTTATCAGGATCAGGGTAGGGTCAAAGGTGCTCAGTTTGTACTAAGCAGAAATTTGTCAATGTTAGCTGAAGCTAGGCAAAGGGGCAACATTAGGGGAACAAACTGGTGGAATTGTGGTGAGAAAAGCAGCCAGACAAGGGATAAAAATACCATTTGAACAAGTGCCCTTGTGCCTAGGATAGGGGAAGAGCCTCACACTTCCAGGCATGCTCAGCAGCCCATATGAAGTCCCACAGTCTGGACAGGCTCTGTGCTTGTTCCGCACAAGAAACGAGGCCCTCCTCAGCTGCAGCAGTCAGTGCCTGTGCCTCAGCTAGTCAGCCGCACCCCCAAAGGCTGTGAGAGACTCCACAACCCAGGGCAGGACTTAGGGAGGAAATGCTTCTTCCCTATTACCCCACCATGGGGGTGGGGTCTCCTTGCTAGTCTGATAACAGAAGAAACAGTGGGGTTGAGTGGCCTCATCTATAGATCTGGCTGCCAGCTCCAAAGGGAGTAATTGTCGTCCCCTGACTGTATTTTCATTGTTGTGCCCCCTTTTGAAATTGAATTTTTGTTTTAATCCAGGCTTCATTATTTCCACCAGAAATAGTAGGCGAGGTATTTCCTCAGGAAATTCTGTACCTAAAAAAGGACATTCCTGTATATGTACTGAGATTCTTAAAGAAAAGCATTCTTTCACTACATGCAGGCACTCCTCACAGAACTACTAGAGAGTTGCTATCACGGTGTTTATACTATGTTGTTATAAACATAAGGTGGTATTTCAACTTTGTTCATTAATGTTATGTCATGATCTGTGTGTGTGTGTGTGTGTGTGTGTGTGTGTGTGTAAATAAATATATAAAAACATTTGGAGTATGTCATTTTATGGGTGCTGTCTTCCATTCTCCTTACCAAAAATATGTTTCAAAAATGAGCTTCAGAGGCTAAATTCAAGTGAAGACCTTTTTGTAAAACATGATTTCAGGATAGAGACTATAACTCATTGGAAGCATTAAGAAATGCACTTTGACTGAAGCTTAGTGTGCCAGAATTTCATATTTTGGATAAATGACTGGACTTGTGTGAAGATGTTTCAACTAAATCTGATTCTAAGAAATGTCGAGCTTCATTGACGTTTAAACAGAGCTGAATGGGATTTAGATTACAGAAGTTTGGACTAGGGTTTTAAAAATGGCTAAAACACTTTTTAGTTACTGTACAAATTGGGCAAAATAGAAGAACAGCCCCCCACCACTGTATACCCCATGAAATCAATAGATTGAAGTTTTAAAGTGTTTTATTTACTGTTAGATGTTTGATGCTCACAAATTGCTGTCATGTTGCTTTTTATTTCAGGACTCCGAGTCCCTTGACACCTACACCCAGAACACTCTCTCTGCATTATACCCGCCTTTTGAGGCCACAGCTGCCACTGTCCTGTGGCAGCTTTTCAGCATAGTTGAAAAGCTGTATCGAGGAGATGGTCTCAGGTGCCTAATTGATTTCCTTGTCCCTGCCAAGAGAGTCTTACAATGCATTCAGCAAGAAACCTGTGTAAGTATAGCTTACTCTGGCAAAACAGAGGCCTCCTTTGTTCCTGACTTGGGAAAAGAGATAAGATGGAATTTAATCTCTGATCTAGAGAGTTCTTTTAGTCTAGCAAATAAAATTTTGCAGGGAACAGTGCAAATTCTAAAGGTACCAAGGAGAACAGTGAAAGAGAATTATTTACCAACCTTTTTAAAACTGTGTCTGGAAAAGGAGTTAACTTGCAAAACCTGAACAGGAAACTAGCTGCAATCTACAGAACCTGTTGATAGCAAAATTTGGGAAGGAAAACATGGTCTTCTTTTTAACTGATAATGATTTTAAATATCCCAGTGCAGGCACTGAAATGATAGAGGACCAAGATAAAATATTTGCAATAACAAAAAAATGCATAAGTCTGGAAGGTATTTTTAAAGGGAGCAGATATTGTAGCAAAGATATTATTGTGGTTATTTTCTTTTCCAAGCTGACTAAAATCCTCGCCAGTGATGTGTCTGGAGTATGGAGCTGGCTAGGGCTGTATACTTGGGGTTCGTGGCCGCATAGGTTTAAGTCCTGAGGGGTGACATCCCCATTGTTGGGGGAAGATTTTTCCAGTGATTGATTGACAGACCATTAGAGGGAACCTTAGAGGACTTGTACTCCTTTGTCTCAGCACTCCTGGCTGGCATCTCTGATATGATATAGCTGTCACGCAGTAGAGCAGTCAAGACCCGGAAGAGCTACCATTGCATGCAAATGGCAGATACAGGCACCTTGTCAGCTCCTCCACACTCCAAATAAGACATCTCTCCTATTTAAGTTTTGTAACTACAAGGACTCTCTTCTGGCCACCTTCTCTCCCTGCAGCAGTTCCTCAGAGCTGACTGCAACCCTAGTGAACACTGTGTCCATGATGCAGGAGAGAAGAGCATCAATCCATGCAAAGGAGCCCTCTGCTGTCCATAAACTTACCACATCCACAGTTTGATTCCACACCATGCATAGATGCAGCTCTCATCTGCCCCTATTCTGTATTCAGTCTTGGCATCCTCAAAGCTGGAATTATTTATCAATCACATACTGTTTCTTTTGGTGCCTAGCAGTCTCTTTATTATGGTGGTCCCAACCTGAAACATAATGGGACTGTGTCTGGATTAGCTTTCCTTTGAGACATGCAATAGAAATATTCAAAGACAAAATTTTAGGAACCCATTCCTGTAGAATGGGAATCAACTCCCCTTTCTCCTTTCCATTCTTCAGCACCAGTAATAGAAACATAGGTGAAATCTGATTTTTCATTTTCTCCAAATCATTGTATGCTGTTGGAGATGTTCAGAAAATGCTAATTGTTCTCTCTTCTCTGGGTTGTCTTTTCCACTTGAGTAGTTTCATTTAGATTTCTGATGTGTTTACAGTTGGTAAAAGAGTATTAAATACTTAATCCTCCCTCAGAGCCTGAGGATAGACTAGATGATCGTTTGAGGTCCCGTCCAGCCCTACATTTCTATAACTTCTGTGAAATTTGCTGTCCAACTGAGCTATTGCCTGTCTGGTTTCGTTCCATGTTTCATTTTTCTCCCCCTAGCTTGGCACGTTCGGTGAGCTTCCTTTTGACTCTTTGGTGCGTGATGCTCTTGAATCATTCTCTCCGACCTGTTTAAAATAATAATGCTGACTGGTTCTGGTTTTCAGCGTTGTCGGCGGGCTGCATGTGCTTTCCATTCCTTTAGCTTTAAATTTAAAAAAAAAAGTTGTTGTTTTTTACCATCATTAGCTTCTTCCAGAGGGAACTGTTGTTGTCTTTCTGCAGACCTCCACTGCCGCAACTTTTCCTGTTTGCCGCTAAATGCCATGCTCAGCTCATGAGAACCAGAGATAGCATTCAGATTAGCAGCGATACTTGTTGGTGGGCAGGGAGGAAAGAAAAAAGAGGTGGATATACTTTCCCAGTATTTTTGTACCTAAAAAAGGATTGGGGTTCTGTCTGAGGGTTGGGCTGTGTAACAAGATAGCAGATGTTAGAAACCTGCCTAGAACTCCTGAAGTTGGTAAGTGTGGCTCATTAACTCCTCCCAGGGTACTAGAGAGGCTGGAGAGTCTCTCAGGGCAGAGGTGATAGGAAGCTAAGACAGAAGAGATCCTGGAAAGGAAACTACTGGAACAGCCATACTCAGGCAGGAAGTGTGGGCTTACACTGAGATTTAGGTTGTTTTTATAAGTAGGGCTCCGTGTCTGTCACAGAGGTCGCAGAAGTCATGGATTCCATTGGGTTCCTCCCCCTCAACGGGTCCCCCAACTTCCCCACTGCAGCCTCACCCCTCAAGATTCAATCATGAGTATTTTTAGTATCAATCATGGACAGGTCAGGGGCCGTGATTTTTTGTTTTTTGCCTGTGACCTGTCCATGACTTTTACTAAAAATACTCATGATTAAATTGTAGCCTTAGTTATAAGCCAAGCCCCCAAAAGAGGGGTGAGTCTGGACACTAGGTCAAAGTCAGTGTGTACTTTTGAGGATGGAGGTAGAGAATTAGATCACTGACAGACTGTTCTTCCCATCCTTAATATATCTTGCCTTAAGTCATGCTGTATTACAGCTGCATCTATAGATTTTTGCTGTGCTCAACTGAGGAAGGAATTGAATCACCATCCTGCTTAATCATTCCTTAGCTAGCTATTGGAAGTGCTCCAAAGTAGATATGACTTACGTAATGGATAGTTTACATACTTGGTTTTCTTTGTTATGTTTTTATTGTAGCATATTTTGTTTTGATGTAGGGTTTTTTGCGGGCACTGAGTTGTATGTGTATTTTTCCATTAGGTGGGGAAATTATTCATAAGTCATTCTTTTAAATATATTTTTAGCACCTAGCAATACACCTCTACCCCGATATAACATGACCCGATATAACACGAATTTTGATATAATACGGTAAAGCAGTGATCCAGGAGGGCGGGGCTGTGCACTCCGGTGGATCAAAGCAAGTTCAATATACCACGGTTTTACCTATAACACAGTAAGATTTTTTGGCTCCCGAGGACAGCGTTATATCAAGGTAGAGGTGTATGTCTTTTTTATGTTTGCATTTTATCATGTAGCTTTGCTACAGGTAATGGCTTTCATTTAATAAATTTCTTAAGAGTCTTACAACAGAAGTATTCTCAAACAAAAAACTTGAAGGTGAAGTGAAGATTGCAGGCATGTATCAGAGTTCTGAACATGTACTACCTCTATATGTGTCTGTCACTCAGAGACTCAGGAAATTCAAAGTTAAGGTTGCACTTATAAGAAACCCAAATATTTGAAATTATGGAAATTCCCAATTAAGATAGCCAAACTACTTGAACTTGGCACTTGTAGAGATGTCAGGCTACCATTTTCCCTCCTTTGCAGATAAAGTATCAGAAGTAGATGACAAAAAACGTAGGTTTTATAACTATCAGAGGGGTAGCCGTATTAGTCTGTATCCACAAAAACAACGAGGAGTCTGGTGGCACCTTAAAGACTAACAGATTCATTTGGGCATAAACTTTCGTGGGTAAAAAACCCACTTCTTCAGATGCATAGAGTGAAAATTACAGATATAGGCATAATCATATATTGGCACACGAAGAGAAAGGAGTTACCTTACAAGTGAAGAACCAGTGTTGAAGGCCAATTTAGTCAGGGTGAATGTGGTCCATTCCCAATAATTGATGAGGAGGTGTCAATATCAAGAGAGGCAAAATTGCTTTTGTAGTGAGCCAGCCACTCCCAGTCCCTATTCAAGCCCAAATTGATGGTGTTAAGTTTGCAAATGAATTGTAGCTCTGCAGTTTCTCTTTGAAGTCTGTTTTTGAAGTTTTTTTGTTGAAGAATGGCTACTTTTAAATCTGTTATTGAGTGTCCAGGGAGATTGAAATGTTCTCCTACTGGCTTTTGTATGTTACCATTCCTGATGTCTGATTTGTGTCCATTTATACTTTTACATAGAGACTGTCCAGTTTGGCCAATGTACATGGCAGAGAGGCATTGCTGGCACATGATGGCATATATCACATTGGTAGATGTGCAGGTGAATGAGCCTCTGATGGTGTGGTTGGGTCATCTGATGGAGTCGCTAGAGTAGATATGGGGACAGAGAAGGCAATGAGGTTTGTTACAGGGATTGGTTCCCGGGTTAGTTTTTCTGTGGTGTGGTGTGTAGTGACTAGTGAGTATTTACTTCAGGTTGGGGGGCTGTCTGTAAGTGAGGTTTGATAACTGGTTGCATACCCACATGTCTCCAATATGAAGTGTTCAGCTTTGTCACCACACTGACGTTTTGCTTTTTTTGATGCAAGTGCTATAATTTTACAATCAGGAAGGTTTGTATATGGAGCCACACTAGCTCTGTGTCTAATGAAATTTAGATAATTGTCTAGGGCATGCAGTGGTTAAGGTCAGGGTTGGATTAAGGCTGGGGCTTTAGGGGCTGCATCCTAGGGCCTCAGCTCAAGGGGGGTCCCACAAAAATCAATCACAGGCAGCGATCTCCGGGCTGCTAAAAGGGTGCTCAGGCAGGCTGCCTGCATGCTGTGGCCCCACGCCGCTCCCGGAAGCGGCTGGCTGCTGGCACATCTGTGACCCCTGGCAAGGGGAGGGGAGGCAGCTCCACCCCCAACACTGTCCCCACAGCTCCCAAGGGGCTTGCAGAGACGTGCTAGCAGCCAGCCGCTACCAGGAGCGGCGTGGGGCTATGGCAGGCAGGCAGCCTAAGCCCTGCTGTACCGCTGGCTAGGAGCTGCCTGTGGTAAGCGCCTCCTGGCTGGAGCCTACACCTCACTCCCCCTCCTCCACCCCAACCCCCTGTCCCAAATCAGAATCCCTTCCTGCACCAAACTCCCTTCCAGGAAAAAGACTTGTATACAGGGGCCACACAAAGAGCAGGTGGCTTTTGGAAGAGGGGTCCTGGGGGCCATGCCTCCATAAGGGGAGCTAGACTGACAGTGGGCAAACTTGAGAAAATTGTCTGTATGTGCAGCCTCTCTTCTCCCCTGCTCCT